TGGTCTTTTTGAGACAGGGTCTCCCTATAGCCCCAGCTTTCCTGGAACTCACTTTGTAGACCAGGATGGCCTTGGACTCACAGAGATCCACCTGCCTCTGCCTCCTGAGTGCTGGGATTAAAGGCGTGTGCCACCATGCCTGGCCCTCAATTATTTTTATATAATAAGATTCTAGACATGAGCTTACAGTAGATATGTGCAGTAGTACAGCGATTAAGATTAGGAGCTAGAGAGTAAGACAGGTGTGGGTTTGAATCCTGTGAGGGCTGGTGAGACAGAGCAGTGGGTAAAGTACTTACCATTGCAAGCCTGGCAGCTGATACAGTCTCCAGAACCCACATAAAGGTCGGGAGAACTAACTACATGAAGTTGTCCTCTGACCTCCACACATGCACTGTGGCATATGCCTCCCTCAATAAAAGTTTGCTGAGCTATCTCCCCAACCCAATTAAAAAAAAAAGTATTGATTTTATTTCTATTTGATACAAAATGTAGATATACATATATTAATATGGGTATGGCATGATGTTTCAATACATTTATATATTATATTTAAATAGGGCCAAGCATATATTTAATCCAGTTTCAGTTGGTTTTGTTACTGATAAAAGATAGGGATCGAGGCTGGAGAGATGGCTCAGCGGTTAAGAACACTTGTCGTTCTTGCAGAAGACCTGGGTTCAAATCCCAGGACCCACATGGCAGCTAACAACTGTCTGTAACTCCAATCCCAAGGGATCCAACAGCGTCTTCTGACCTCCGCAGGCATTGCACAACATGGATGCACTTAACCTACATGCAGGCAGTACATGCATACACACAAAAATAAATAAAATTTTTAAAAAAGGGATAGGGATCTGGTTTCATTCTTCTGTATGTGAATGTACAATTTTCTCAGCACTGTTTATTGAAAAGAATGTCCTTTCTCCAGTGTATGTTTTTATTACCTTTGTTTAAAATTTGTTGGCTGTAGATGTGTAGGTTTACCTCTGGGTTCTTTATTCTTTTCCATTGGTCTATGTTTTTATGCCAATACTATGCTGTTTTGTTTACTATGGCTTTGCTGTACATGTTGAAATTGTCATGTAATTCCTCCTTTGTTCTTTTTTGCCCAAGATGACTTTTTGACTCTTTGGGGTTTGTGTAGTTCCTTGCAAAGTTTTAGGACTGTTTTTTTCTAGTTTTGTGGAAAACATCATTGGTATTTTTGATAGGGATTGTATTTTGGTATTTTGTATCATAGGTATTTTGACTGAATCCAAATCTCTTTGGGTAGTCTGGAGATTTTAACAATATTGATTTTTTCCAGTCTGTGAACCTGGATTTCTTTATTTTTTTATGTGTGATATTGTATCCTACAGCTTTGCTAGATAAGTTTATTAGTTCTAAAAGTTTACTGGTGAATTTTGGGTTGTCAGTATATAAGATATAGTCAGTTTGTCTTTCTGTACACAATGGCAATTTACTTCTCCTCTTTCCTAGTTTTGATGTCCTTCAATTTTCTTCTCTTGCCTGATTACTTGGTTTAGGACTTCTAGTAATATGTTTAATAAAGTGATAAAAAATGGGCATTTTGTTTTGCTCTAGATTTTACAGAGAAAGCAATGAATTTTCCTCATTTAATGCGAATTTGGCTATTGGCTTATTACATACAGCCTTTATTATATTGAGATCTGTTTCTTCTACACTAATCTGTTCTGCATTTTTATCATAAAGAAGTGTTGGATTTGATCACACACTTTCTCGTCTGTTGAGATGATTATGTGTTTATTATTTTTTGAGGGTTTCTGATAATGCTACGTTCTGAACATACAAAGGGTGCAAAATGAATTTTTTTTCCAGAATATTTCAAAGGATAGTGCCAGTCTATCATTGTCTGCAAAGGACTTTCACATACTGTGACTGTAGGTCATTTTGTCTCTTAATTAAAGTAAGATACCATATGTCCATAGTTTTGGCCTGTACTGAAATGGGGGGAAAGAGGGTCCCCTAGAAAGTTCTTAGTCTCATTCATAAAAGAATTGAAGAATGGAAGTTCTGCTAATGTCATCATGTATATTGACTTTAACAACATTTATTTAATTTTTTTTTTAAACAGATATTGTCGGCAAGTGCTTTGTGAAACTGTTCGAACTGCCAAACTAACTCCAGTTTCTGCCAGGCTTCAAGATATTGAAGGAAGAATCAACCAGTTTATTATTCCTAGAGAGGTAGGAAATGTTTGGTATATTTAGCTCAGTGAGTTTATTCTCAATTACTTTGGTTTGGTGTGCATTTTAAAATTTTTATTTTGTAAAGTACCCAATAATCCTACCCTTATTAAAGTCACAGTCACTTTAATTATAGAATAATATGCATTTATTTTAAAGTTCAAATAGTTT